TCTGACTTGCCTCCACTCCAGAATAACACGCCTGAGTAGAGATCAGAGAGCAGGAGGAAGATTGAGAGATACAGAGAGAGATGAAAGAGGGAGAGAGAGAGAAGTAAGAGGGTGGAAGAGAATACTAAAAGCAGGACATGGAGCAGAGAAAGTGAAAGTTTTCTCCTGATTTTCCTGTTTCCTGTGTGTGTCTGGACTGAGATGTCCTCACGACTGACTGGGTTGTGCGTACAAGTTTATTTATCACCAACGTGTGGATGAATATTTGAGAGAAAGAATGTAATAACATGCAGATGATCTCACTGTTTGGCTGTCAATTCGGTCTATCACAAGGCTGTAAAATCCTGAATAGTGTCTTCTTCTCTCTGTCTTATTACCATGGTAATAGCCGACCAGCTGACACTCTGGTGCTGACTGTTTACATCACAGGGCCTGTATGACCTTTCCCAGGAATCAGCAGGACATTGCACACACATAGAATCATGGGAACAGTGCACTGTCATACCTAACCTCCCGCCTCCCTCCCCACCACAACAAATATTTACACCCCTCATAAATTACAGTGGCTGAGAGGTGAACGTCCCCAGCCTTCGTTTGTAGCTCCACCCAAACCCTGATTCATTTGGGAAAATTCACACTATAGGAATGCTACACATTCCTCACTGGTTTCTCAAGACTCCACTGAGAGGGCAACATGAGGCCTTAAGATAGAGGGATGGGAGACTGGTGCTGTTGAATGAGGGATCTTGGAACATGTGGTTAGTGAAATTAAGTCATTTTAAAAAAGATGAAAGCTTATTGCATTATTGGGGATTAGGGTTTTTTTTGTGCAATGAACTTACTGCAATCCATTCAGTTAGCCACCTGTGCAAAATATGGAGGGAAAGAGAAAGTAGTACACACACAAAAAGAGAGAGAGAAAAGTGAAAAGAAAATGCTCTCACAGCATTCAGTAATAACACAAGTAGTATTTTCTCATTGTGGAAAAGTTAAACATACAATTTTTATATTGTAATCTTTGTACAATATACTATAATTGATTAATGCCATGGTAGTAACTTACTGACGTTCATG